ATGTGAAATAGTGCTGTGCGTACGAAAAGCGAGTGGCTGTTTAGACGGAAAGTTTGAGTTCACTTAACAGGGCCATCACCAGGCCCTGTTATTTGCTTTTTTGTTTTCTTGGCACGCTCCAAGGAGCCGCGCCGCTCTTTCGGCACCAAGGGTGCCGACGTATCCATTGCCTCCTCGGAGGTACTGGATGCCCGCACATGCGGGCTGTTAGTTCGGATTTTGGGCCTCGCCTGGTGAGGGGAGGCCTTGAGACCCGAAGACTCTGGAGTCTCCGGTCTCTGTTTGGGAGTAGGCGGTGTAGCCTGGGCTACAGCCGCCTTGGGGGCAGGTGCCACAACCGCCGGCTTGGTATGCGCGGGCCGGAGGGCTGGCGAGGGCTGCTGCGGCGGTGCCCCCTGACGCGCCGCATCAGCGTATGTAGGTCCATAGAATGGAGCGACTCTTCGCCGTGCTTCCTTAAATGTAATGTTCTCCTTCACCTTCAACGTAATTATTTCTTTTTTCCAGTATGTGCAGGAGCGTGAATATGTGGCATGGTTTCCTTCGCAGTTTACACAGTGTGGCGGTTGTTTGCAGTTCTCAGACACGTGGCCTAGGACTCCACATTGTGCACAAGTCTGGCGACCACGAAAGGTTTTAGAGCCATGGCCATACCTCAGGCATTGGAAGCAACGACGAGGGTTTGGTATGTACGGCCTGATAGATGTCTTTGTGTACCCTGTTTGAATTGATTCCGGTAGTTTACTGGATGCAAATGTAAGTATTAAGTGTTTTGTCGGTGTTTCCTTATTATCTCTTCTGATGATGATTCTCTGTACATTAGTGACATTTTGGCTCTTCCACCCCTCCAAAAGTTCAGTCTCAGTCAAGTCAAGTAAGTCCATGTTAGATACCACTCCGCGAGTTGTGTTCATTGATCTATGTGGTGTTACGGTTATTGGTATGCCACCGAAATCTGAGAGACGGTCTAGCTTTTTAAATTGTTCTTTGTCACGGATTTCGAGGAGAAGGTCTCCACTAGCCATTTTGGTTACCTTGTATCCTGTGCCAAGAGTTTCGGTAAGACATCTAGAAACTAGGAAAGGAGAGACGGTCCTGGCTTGCTTTTCAGTTTTTTCACAGTGAATGACGTGGAAATGGGGAAAAGTTTCTGTTGGCCGGTTGAAGAGATTTATGTCGTGGGTGCGTACCCGCTTTAGGCCGGTACGATCAGATAGTAGAGGGAATGCGCCATGCATGCCGATCTTATTTTTGTTCAGCAGCGTTGGCAGCCACCCACCACGGAGCCCAACAAGGGGACGCTGCAAGTTTACAGGTGCTGAAAGCTTGCAGACGTCAGCCGTACAACACTGCCATAACCCAATGCGCCTAGACCAAGGTAGGCTATTTGCACAGGGTTAACCCTTGCCGCCAGGAAAATTGGAAGTAAACAGAAGAGAGTAGAAGACAGGACAGATAGATAGTGAGAGATAAAGACGAAGATGTAGGCAGAGAGAGATAGGAAAAGGCGACTGCCGATTTCCCCTGGGTGGGTCAGCCCAGGGGTGCCGTCTACGTGAAGCCGGGGCCAAAGGGGTGTGTTGCCTTTGCCAGGGGGCCTTAAAGGTCCAATCACCCAGCGTCGGCTCAAACCCCAGGTTCCCCTTTTCCCCGGACACGGCAAAGCCACGCACGGCTAGGCGTGGGAGGGAGTAGAAACTCCCCCGTTAGCTCGGGTCCGTGGTGTCGCTACGCACCAAACGCCTACTTGCGCAGGCGCCCCTGCGGGGGCACTTCACCACTTTAACCTTTCAAGCTCACCAATTCACATCGGTTGAAGAAGTTCACAATGCTCCGATAATTAATTGCAGACAAAACCAAAACAGAGTAATAAACGAAGCCACAAGTCCGACCGAAAGCACTAACACTGTACTACACATCATTCCCAAGTCGATGGATGGATGGATATGGCTGTACCCTTTAGATCGGGCGGTGGCTAGCGCCACCAAGCCGTAATACTTAATGAACTTAAAACTATATTTTTTTCCTTAAAAAGTGAGTTTGAGGATTCGTACTTTGCAGTGAAGAGTTTAATTTTCACTCGTGCCTTGACTTTAGCCACCAATCAGATAACCTCCTTCTAGTTACGTCTACCCGCTTAAAGTCTATTTTGCCCTCCCGGTCCCTAAACCCCAGTGCTTTGAAAAACTCTGCGCCATCATACTGAACTATAGGGTGAAGCCCTTTACAGAACATTATCAAGTGTTCGGCAGTTTCTTTTTCCTCTCCACACGCACTGCATACTATGTCTACCCCTTCGTATTTGGCCCGATATGTCTTGGTTCGCAGTACTTCCGTCCTAGCCTCAAACAGTAGAGAACTGCCCCGAGTTCACTGAACTATCAGAGCGCCTCTCTAGTCAATCTTAGGAAACTGATTTCGGGTACAGTAAAAAAAAAAAGACCGAGTAAAATGGGCGTCTTTTTGTCCCACAACAATAATCGTCCTCTATCTTGCGTTCCCTTCCTCGCACTAACAGTGCGCCCGGCACGAACGACATGCGCGCTAACTGTCGACATGACATAGCTTTCTTGATAAGCATAATATCCAGGCCAGCGCCGAGTCTTCAGGGAAAGAAGTGCGAGCAAGCCAGGTGACGATTATTGTTGTGGGACAAAAAAAAAAAAAATCTCCCTTTTTACGCGACCTTTTTTTTTTTCATGTAGAGTGCTTTACCTCCTTGAGGTAGTGTTCCTCAGGACCTCAACAAAGTTCTGTGTCTGAGAGGATGCGTCAAGTCTCTAGCTTCTTCAAGTGCGCGTAGGGATGCATGATTAGCAATTTTATGATTCCCAGCGTTCTCGATTAGAAGACGATTTTGGGAAGCGATAGAGCCATTTCTTTCTGCTAGACAGGCGCTTAATGTACGAGTTATACCAAGGGGCTTCTGTATTAAAAATGGCACGACTGGGGAAGCATTTTTCACTGAACAGACGTACTTGATTTACAAAAATGTCCCAGGTACTCTCAACCACACAAGTATCAAAGTTAATAATAAAAAAAAAAACTTTCAAAAAATTAGCCACGTTCGCTTTCCTCAAAATTATCCTTCTAAAAATCACGAATAGTCTTGGTCGTTTAGGAGAGTTAGCGTCAATGTCACGACTGACTAAAGAACGATCGCTAGTATTGGGGAGAAAAGTTCGCGGGGAAGTTGGATGTGGACAATTAGTCGAAATTAAGTCGAGCGCACTCGAACGAAGTGATTCGATTGGGCTGAAAACACGGAATCCTTTTGCCCGAGTTGGAAAGGGTCAGTGTACCACAAGCAGTTGGTGAAAAAAATTTTGAGTAGGAAGAACAAATGCGATGAAGAAACGCGGCTCAAGTAAATCGCCAGTGAAGGCGAGCATGCACCTTTGTGTGACAGCGTTCGGCAAGCCCACGTGTACTCAATATGAGTTTTTATGTCTGCGTGAAAATATCTTTGCAAACGGCGAGAACGACAGCGCCTCTCGACGCCCAGTGGGCCACGCCGGTTCTATCGCGATAAGGCCCGATCAAGACGACCGCGATCGACAGAAGTCTCCGTCAAACTCGACCATGATTAGCTTGAAGCGTGCAGAACCGGTGACTGCTAATCGTAATAAAAAAATCAGATCCGGGTTGGCGAAAATGGCAATCAAAAGTACCCGTGTAATCGCAGGTGACTGTCACGCTTCTACGCTGATGCTTGGTCCCGAAAACCCAGAACAGAGGACACGTTCCGATGTCCCAACGCGGTATGTTTGAAGAGGGCCGAGTGCGACTTGTCGGGGTACGCGACGAGATAGTACGTCAAAGTGCACATCGGGACCGGTATTATTTAGCCGTTCGCACAGCTGCGCAACGGTGAACGCAAAACGAATGAAACAGCAAGGCAGCAGCTGAGGGCCGAGGGCAATACACCCGGCGACGACCTGCCGAACCTCCCTTCCACAGTTGCGTGCAGCACTCCGAAGCGCCAACTTGCAGTCGCCCTTCTGGAATGCACTAGACAAAGCACAGTTCGGGCATTCGTGCTTAGACCCCGTGGTCGCTGATTACCGGCGCTAAGCGGTTACGAATTTATTCCATATTATTTTACTTTTTGTACTACATTACAGCCCATTTTTAGGAAACACGTGAAAGCGGAAGTGAACAGGGAGGAAACAAACAGGAAACCAAGTTTTCATTTTCCGGGCTCGAAATTACGGCAATTTGCACACCAACATCGTTGGTCGACACCACGAAGAAATTGAATGCGCCGCATCGATAAAAGCAGGAAGGTGCAATCCAAGCGTTAAGGCGATCATACAGCGGCGCACATGCGTGTGACCGGGAGGGGGGGGGGAGGCTTTCTCTCGTACGAAGCAGGCATTGACGTCACTTTGCATCCGAAGGCAAGTTTCCTTCCAGTGCAGTCACCGATCGTGCATCGCTCAAAGCGGCGCCCACCGGTATCAACGAATGACATCACGTAGCGCACCGGCTGGCTTCTACACGAGCCGCATACCGAGCTGCTACATTCCTCCTTCTCTGAGGAGGAAGCTGACCGGGCCAAGCCGGCACGACGCCGTGAGAAACATGGCTCAGCACCTTCGCCACTTTTCACGAGGGACGCGGCGAAAAAATGCGCGTAGGCGCACTCGACGAGGTGGCAACAGCGACACCGATCGCGGCCCCAGGTGGAGAGAACGTCGGTCGAACTCTCGGAGCCACCGCGAAGGGGGTGGTGTTCCGCAATCGTCAAACACGTTCGACGCAACCACGGTCACCCGTGGACAGGAGTCCTTAACACACGAATGTATAAGCCTAACGAATATCGACCACGACCAACCGGGGGTCGGAGCTGGAGCGGAGCACGTTAGCTTCCCAAAAAGCAGCAAAATCACGGAGGTAGGTTTCTGGGGCTATGACTGGGGGCCCGCCGTTCGGGCCGCCGGCACTAGCGCGGCGCTCGTTGGCAGCGTCGCAGGACCGGAAGAAGCGTGCCTACTCACCGGTTCGGTGCGATGTCGCATACGCCGGCTCTGGTAATCCTTTTTTGTTTTTCTTTGGGTGGCAGATTTCGTTCACGAAAACTCGGCAAGGGGCTGACAGAACGGGCTGCACAAACGGGCCATGGCGCATCCGCCTTCTCAAGTCACGTGACTACTTTTGTGGCGCCATCTCTTCGGCGCAAGGGCAAACACAACAATTTGTTGCCAGACTGCTAAAAGCGGTTTCGAGTGAGTGACGAATAGCGAAAGGGTTTCGGTTTCGCATTTCCTCGCTAGTTTAAAACCAGGTCGGGCAACATTTTTGCCGTAGGGCTGTGTGCACAATATAAGAAAGTAATATATACAAATGCATCTCCGCCGATCGCGCTCCTTTGGAACAGCAGCTACTTACGACTGACAGCCGGTCAGTTAGTAAGTAGCTGCTGCATTGCGCTGCATGCATTGTGTAGTTTTTTTTAGCGCATTTGGGTGGGTGGTTCCATTATATTATAGGGAGAGATATACAGAAAGAGGTTCCTTAGTGCAAGAACTGCTGTGGGACCCGTTGTTATAAAATACATAAAGAGAATAGAAACGGGAACAAGATAGAGAAAAACAAGTTTGATATGCGTGCAAAATAATAGGAGGGGCATTATGGTAAGCAATGACATTTCAAATATTTGACACTGAAGTACACATGTAAAATAGGTAAGCAAAATAAAACCTAACTAAGTGCAGTGATGCACTTGTCTGGAGTGTGCACTAATAAATGTTTCACAAGAAAAAGAAAGTAATGAACGTGGATAAAGAAAACATGAGATGCATTGTAAAAGCGACAAAAAAAAAGCAACTAGTGTAACTACACATGATTAGGAAATTGCAAGAATGATTCAGAGAAAGCCGAATTGAACGTTTGAATGCATTTAACTAAGGTGAAGTTTTAGCCCCCTGAGGCAGCACGTGCAATATTTGGTTGCGGATAATCTTACTGTTTTCAGTACATAGTTGGCGCACCCCGGAGACAAGATATTGTTTTGAAGGGAGAAACGTGTATTACTGGAAGAAGTAGTAAATTTATTACCTGCAATATACAAAACATTTAGAATACGTACCAGGCGTTAGGCAATTACGGCTACGTTAGAGATGATCATATTTGAGCCAGGAATAATATTCAGTGAAGAGAACATTGGAGCTGACTAGGCATCTGATAATCACTGTGCTTCATTATGCAGAGAGCCTGTTCTTGCATATGCGCTTATGGGCTTAACCATGTTTTATATGTAAGGGCCTAAGATCAGGTTTCTGAATTTTACCTTTATTTACTTAAGACAACCCGTATACATAACATAGTTGCCCAGAGGATTGGCGTAAAGGCAAAAAAAAAAAGCCTGACAAAGCGCCAGCTCCCTGTGTACCCACATAGATGAGCGGTTATAAAAATTGAATGCATACAGTAGCATAAAACATTAGCAATTGTTTTTCTGACATGAAGCCATTGGATAAAAAATATGTACTTAATTGTGATCAGCACATTAAGAATAATGAGAAACTGTTTATGCACAATAGTGGCTAGCAAAATAAAAAAAACGATAAAAAACACAGGTATGGGCCACATATGCAAGTTACACAAATTAAGAAAATGAATTGCGAGAGGTATGAAAGTCTGAGTTTTTAGGAGGAGTGTGTGTATCTTCTGTTTGAAGACATCAATGGAGGAGCTTTGTTCAATTATTGTCATCCCAGTGGGTGTTCATTAAGGAAACGGGGAATCTGGTAGGTTAGTTTTTATGCGCCGTAGTTAGTAGGAAGCGTTTTTTTTTAAAGCTGGTGTGTCGTAAATTATGACTGTGGTCCCGCGCCAGAAACATCCTCAAAAATTCAATTCGATGAGATTTTACCTCACGATATATGGTCACTGCTAATTTCTATATCAGATATGAATAATGACCAGCAGTCCATGTTTTTCAAAAAAAAAGGGGGGGGGTGGGGGGCATGTGTGAACGAAAGGGTACGAGTTCAATCAATCCCACAGCTCGTTTTTTATAGATACAAATCGATTAGGTTAGTTTTTGTCGTCACGGCAAAAAGAGCCTTCCTCATATCAGAAGGCAATAGTCAAGGTGAGAATGCATTGTTGCGTAATACATTTGTCTCTTTAACCATACTGGTATTAAGTGGCGTAACGTGCAGAATATGCCAACTAGTCGAGAGATGTTTTTTCGTAAGTAGTGTATATGCGCAGACCAATCTAATTATTCGTGAAAGAAAGCACTGAGGAACTGAATCCGTCTGTGCGTCCGTCTGTGCATCCTTCTGTGAGTCCGTCTGTGCGGCCATCCATCCGTCCCTCTGTCTGTGCGTTCGTCCGTGCGTCTGTCCGTCCGTGCGCCCGTTCTGAACGCCTACGACATGAAATGCGCTTTAAAGCTTGTATGCGTCATGTAAGCGTTTGCACAAGCCGGCGAACTCTAGTTATAAAAAGGATGATTCAGAGTACCTGGTTAACATTATTTCCCAAGGGAGAATAGAGTGTCGTGGAGAGGCTTAAGAGAAAATTGATGATGGCGAAATTCTTTTCATTGAAGCATTGACTTCAATACAGTGGAGAATTTATGTGGCCAGTTGCCGGCAGGGGAATGGTCTGGACTGGCTGTGGGGTGAGAGGCGTCCTGGAAGGTGATGAGCCAGGTGCAGTTGTGTCATTTTTGATAGGAGGAGCATGTTTAATGCCGTAAAACTTGAGCACGGCATCTCGCAAGTGATCGTACGGGCGAGAGCTCCAGGAGAAGTATGTGAGGTGGTGTTTGAGATCATGTGGAAGATGGTATTCCAATACTTCGTACATGAGCTCTTGGATCCAGATGCCGTTGTGATACAAGGCCGCCGCAAACTCCTCGAACCACGACTCTAGGTGAGAGGTCCGGAACGGGGGCAATGGCGGGTCGAATTGAGGCTGCCAGGCTTGTGCTGACTGGAGCATGGCCGCGTAGCTCGGTGGCAGTAGTGCAGCGCCGGTCGCTTGTTCGTGTGTCCGTGGTCACCAATGTAGCGAGAGAGGAAGACCGGTAGCCAACGTGGTCGTGTCGTTCTCTCGCCACTTCATTATCCAGGTTGATTTGCTGAAGCGGAGCGGCGGCGGCTGCCACGTCCAAACCGCCAGGCACGTGAGCTCGTTCTCCACAGCTCGCGCCTCGAGCTGTCGCATCAGCTGCACGAGAGGCGCAGCGCGGTGGCTAGAAAAAATGACGATGAGGATGAATGGCGATGATGATGACGCTACACACGGATGGACGCTTCGCCCCACACAACATCACTCACTCCGTGCATATGTTTTGATTTTTCTCTTCTCTCACGAGAGCACGTATTTTTATTGTGTTTTTTTTCAGCCAGCTGGCAAATGGCAAACTCTTATTACACTATTGTGGAAGGCACACAACACACAGACACATTGAACGGTCATGCGACTTGAATGCATGATTTTCACAACTTTAAAATGTTTACCGGCTAGCCCAAAAAAGATGCTAATTGAAGATGCTAACACGGCTGGCGTCGGCGGTATTTTTCTACTGCGAGCAACTCCAGCCGCTATGGTCGTTTTAAAAACGAAGACTACGGACTAGAAATCTAAGGCCTTCACACTCCAGATACTAGAACGTGGTATTTCTCTCATGTTCTTTGAGAACCACACGTTTTGACGCTACAAACCCTGTACGCAGCCGCGCAACTCTCGTGGGCTGGCCATCATGGCTAAAGGCGCCTTGCGGAGAAAGCATTATAATGGCGGACTCTGTAGCAGACGACGCAGTTGTCTCCATCCTCCAAAGTGGCGGAATAGGTGCGTGCATCGAGGAATACTAGCTACAGTGGCTAGAATAGGGAAGTGTGATGAACGCGCCGGCTAGCGCGTAACGTCTTGGGAGGAAACCGCCAGGTGACGCTGGCGCACGTTTGCACCGCTCAGCGGAGCTCAGCGGAGCTCTCTCCGCTGAGCGGGTAGGAGGTCGGACGTGTTTTTGGAGAGCTCCGGAATGACAGCTACAGATAAGTGTTTTTGCATGTTTCCAGCTTGCCTCTGTATGTAGCGTTATGAGAACGTAAGGCGCTAGCGTAAAGCTTGATTAGGTCTAGTACGGTGTACGTTTTTTTTTTAGTATTCTGTACTGTGTCTTTTTTTTGCTCCAGCCACCACGTGGCTGAGGCCTGCGCGTAGACCGACCACGTGCATGCACAGGTGCTGTGAAGTGTAGCGTATTTATGTATTATTGTGGTTCTTTTTGGCTTAGACCAGTGTATTTTAGTACAGTTTTCTAACACGTGGGCATCGGTAAACTGAGCTAGCCATGGTCAAAAAGACCGTAAAGTGTTCAGAGTGCGGGGTAGGGCGGAAGGTGGAAATTAGTGCGGAAGAGAAAGCAGAAGATGACGCCAAGTGTAGACAGTGCGAGTTCGAGGAGAAAATGAAAAATATGATGGCGGTCCAGAGTGGGCTCATGGAGAAAATCGCAGAGCTGGAGAATGCATTGGCGAAGGAGCGAGAGAAAACGTCAGCCATGGAGGAAAGGCTCCGGGCAGCCGAGAAGGGCCTATCGAAGGTCGTGAAGGGGAACGAAGACCCAGGTGACGGCGGAAGCATTATGGCGACGACCCCCCGTGCGGGAGAGATGAGGGAAACAGGCATGACAAAGGCAGATACATTGGCCACAGGGCCCAGCTACCGGGAAGTAGTTTTGAGGGAGGGAGGGAGCAAACCAGCAGCCGTGACTCACGCTAGTCACCTAGTCAGCAGCCAGGTGCAGGTTTCAGAAGGAATGTCTGAACAGGTCATCATCGCCGGTGACTCAAATTTAGTCGGATGCGCAGCGGCAATCAAAGAAAGGGTGAAAGGCGACAAGAGAGTTGCGATAGGGACGTTCCCAGGACAAACGCTGGGGACAGTAATGAGTCAAGCGGGTGAACAACTCGCAGCTAAAGCTAACAATCGTAACCTCGTTGTAATTGCGGGAGGGTTAAATGACGTCCTGAAAAAAGAATCGTCAGGACTAGCGACGACCTTGGCGAAAGGGGTGGATGACATGCGCACCGTGTCCCCCCAGATGCAAATTGTAGTATGCACAGTACCGGAAGTACCAGTACGCAACGTCAACCTGCAAAGAGCGGT